TTAAGACAGCCGTTAGCATTTCTCATCATTTCTGGGTGAAAATGGAATAAACTGAGGGTGTTCTATTGGTTCGCAGTGAACTTTAGTTCAAAGAAACTCCTCAGAAACTCCTCAGGGGCTCCTGACTTCTGACCCCTCTCCAGGCATTTTCTCCTTCCAAGCAGATGGAAGAAGGATCTGTTTAGCCCCCTATGTAAACAGTCAAGCTCTTTGGACCGGGAAGGGGAAGGGAGGAGGGGGGAGGCGGTGGACGTTGGAATGGTTGCAGGGCATGTTTTTGTTTCTTTGTCTTCTTCATCTTTGGGCCAAAAGAGATGCCTCTCACTATGAACTTAAGTCAGCCAGGCGAAGTGCAGGTTTTACTGAACACAAAGTACAGACACACAGTCCCAAGAACCCTGGTTGCTCCCCAGCAACGCCTGCAAAACGTCCGCCCTGCTGGCAGCCCAGGAGTGGGAGGTTTCCGGTGCACCCTGGATTTCACACTCTGCCGACAGCTGCCTTGGCAGGACATGTCGCCAAGGCAAAACGACCAGGAATTAGCTGGGAAAAGACAGTCATTTCCTCTTGCAAACTGCAAAAATGCTGCTCGATCCACATAAGGAGGTTAGAAAAGAAAAGCCCTATTGAAGGGATTTTTATGATGGTTGTTGCTCCCGAGTTTTCCCTACAGGGACCATGTGTGATCCTAGGACTTGGTTCAAATGTGGTCCCGAGAGGCATACAGGGAGCAAAAGTCAAGAAGGCAGACACCCCAGAAGCTCCTGCTCCTGGGAAGTTCAGATGCACCCAAAGAGGGTCCTTGATACCCTAACCAGGTCATTGTTCGTTTTCCTGACAGGTACCTGTGACACACACAGCATTACTAAGGCTTTGAAGGTCTCGTGCTAAGTATATTGGGGTCCCGTTTCTCCTCAACTCAGTATGTGCAATGTTACTGTTCTAAGTGCTTTTACACTCAATACACTTGGCATAATTCATCATCTAGTAGGTGCTCAAGTATATAGTGAACAAAATAGGCAAAACAACCCTTGCGCTGGTGGATTTTTTATGATATTAAAATAGTAAATTATGTGATATTTCTAGCAGTCCCAGAAGGCAGGCACTGTTATTGTTTGTGACTTACTCCACACCACACAGCCAGTGTGTGGCAGGGCTGGAATTTGACAGCAGGAATGTGGACTCTATGGAGTCCACACTTTTAATGGGCTCAGCTACCAGGCTGTGTCCGCTAGTAGGGCTAATCATTTTGATTTCTCTCAAAGCCATTTCATTGGGAGCTAATACAGATATCATACCATTCCATAGTAAGTCACATCAAAGCAACATTGTACAATTGCTACCATGATCAGTTTCAAACCATTCTCTTTCTTCTTGAACTCCTTGACAGCAGCTCATCTGTACCTCCACCTCCCCCCACCAATCTTCCCCCCAGAAACCCCTATCCTACTTGCTGTCTCTACAGCTTCATCAACCTGGGTTCCCCATACCCAAAACAGAAAACCATGTAACACAAGTTCAAGAGGGTTACCCTTAATGACAAGATACATCAGAGCTAACCCCGCCCTCCCACCAAAAACACCATCACATAAAAATGCTGAAAACCAGATCAGGCCCTATGTGTATTAGGAGGGGGACGGGATAGGATTAATCATTTTTATGTTAGCCCAAAGTATGACAATAGTTCAGGAATAAGCCTGACCTTTTTTGTTCCCACTAGAAACAAAGTCTTTAATTCTACATACCATTTCCAACCAAACGCACATTACACATGACTTGATTCTGACAGATAGCACCATATAGGACAGGCAGACTCCTCCATAAAGTTTCCAAGGTTGTGTGAGCTCTCCACACCTTTTTCCTACGGAATGGCTGGTAGATTTGAACTGTTGACCTTTCAGTTAGTAGATGAACACTGAAGTACTGTTTTTTGGTTTTTTTTAACCTGAGTTATTTTTATTTTGTTGGTAAACAACATTGAAAGTAACATGGATTTCCAGAATAACAAACAAATCTGGCTTGGAAGAAGTACAGTCAGAATGCTCCTACCAAGCCAGGATGGCAAGACTTCATTTTACATACTTTGGACATGCTATCAGAAGATTCCCGTCCTTGGAAAAGGACATTCTGCTTGGTAAAGAAGAAGGTCAACAAAAAAGGGAAGATCCACATAATGAAGCATTTCCACAGTGGCAGCAACATTGGACCATAACAACAAGCAGGATGGTGGCTCAGAACCAGGCAATACTTTGCTCTGTTGTACCTAAGAGTCCCAGTGAATCAGAACCTACTCGTTTCTTTTTTTTTAACATTTTATTAGGGGCTCATACAACTGTTATCGCAATCCATACACACATCCATTGTGTAAAGCGCATTTGTACCTCATTCTCAAAACATTTTCTCTCCACTTAAACCCCCGACATTAGGTCCTCATTTTTCCCCTCCCTCCCCGCTCCCCTCTCCCTCATGAGCCCTTGATAGTTTATAAATTGTTATTTGTCATATCTTGCCCTGTCCAACGTCTCCCTTCACCCACTTTTCTGTTGTCCTTCCCCCAGAGAGGAGGTCACATATAGTTCCTTGTAATTGGTTCCCTCTTTCCTACCCACTCTCCCTCTACCCTCCCTGTTTTGCCACTCACACCACTGGTCCTGCAGGGCTCATCCACCCTGGATTCCCTGTATTTTCAATTCCTATCTGTACCAGTGTACATCCTCTGGTCTAGCCAGACTTGAAGCACTGTATTTTGTGGACTACAGTAAACTACAGATAGCCTTGAGAAGAATGGGAATTACAGAACCTGTAATTATGCTCATGTGGAACCTGTACATGGATTAAGAGGCAGTTGTGGGAACAGAATAAGGGTATGCTGCATGATTTAAATAAGGAAAGATGTGCTGTAGGGTTTTATCCTATTGCCATACTTATTCAATGGGCATGGTGAGCTGGATTATATTAAGAAGAACATAGCATCAATTTTGGAGGAAGGTGCACTGACCACCTGCTATATGCAGACAACACAACCCTTGATTGCTGAATCTGAGGAGGACATGAACCACTTCCTGTGAAGGTCAAGGATTACAACCTTCAGTATCGATTACAACTCAATGTAAAGAAAACCAAATCCTCACAATTGGAGAGTAGCTAACCTTCTTCACATAAGTGGAGAAAAGGTTGACGTTTTCAAGAATTTCATCTTGTTGGATGCACAATCAATGTTCATGGAAGCATCGGTCAGGAGAAGAAAGGCTCATTGTACTGGGTAAATCTGCTACTGAAGACCTCTTTGAAGAGCTGAAAAGCAACGATGTTTCAAGGAGAACTAAGGTGCTCCTGACCCAAGTCAGGGCACTCCAATTGTCTTGTATGTATGTGAAAGACAGCCATCCAAAAAAGAAGACACAAAGAATTGATGCAATGGAATTGAGGTTGATGAAAATACGGAAAATATCTTAGATTGACAAAAGAACAAACAAATCTGTCTTGGAAGAAGAAGTACATCCAGAATGCATCCTTTTAGCAGGGACGCAAGCATGGTGAAACTTTGTCTCATGCTCTTTGGATGTGTTACCAGGAGGACCTCGTCCCTAGAAAAGGATGTCAAGCTCAGGAAAGGAGTAGAGCAGCCAGCGAGGAAGAGGAAGAGGAAGACCCTCCACAGCAGGGATTGAAGTGGTGGCTGTACCAGTGGGCTCGGACACGACATCCATAAGAGGTGGCCCAGGACGGGGCAGTGTTTCCCTCTGCTGTCCGTGCGGTCGGGATGACTTGGAACTGACTCGATGGCATCTAACAACAATAAGAACTGGAATTTGCTCGATGGCAGTGGTAAGCCTCATTTCTTTTGCATGCTACAAGTCTTTATATAATGTCTTCTTTCTGTGTATATTCTGCTCTCTTTTTTTACATTTTAATTTTTATTTATACAGATACAGGAAAGAAAAAACAATTATATATATATATAATTGAGTTTGGAGCCTCTGTTTATTGTATCAAACTCACTACCTGTCAATTACAATTCATAACAACCCTATAGGAGAGAGTGGAACTTCTGTGGGTTTATGAGGCTATAATTTTAAAATTATTAATTGGGAGTTAATACATATATCATTCCATAGTTCAATCACATCAAGTTGAATTGTACAATTGCTACCACAATCGGTTTCCAAACATTCTTTTTCTTCCTGAACGCCTTGATATCATCCTCCCTTTAACCCCACCTCCACCATCACTGTATCCCCATCCCCCCAAACCCTTATTCTACTTGCTATCCCTATAAATTCATAAATCCTGAGTTTCATAAACAGAAAAACATATAGCACCACTTCAAGAGGGAGACCTCTGATGACATAACTCCTCTGAGATACACCCTAATATGAACAAACAAAACCGAACAAAACCTGAAAACAGATCAGGTCTCCCCATGCTCTTTCCAAAACTCATACACGATTGGATTAGGAGCCACACCACTCACACTGGTGGAACTTTGTCAACAACAACAAAGCACCTCTATTTCCAGAGGAGAGTCCATCCCCAAGGACCAATAATCCAAGACAATACTCATTACCATCAAGTCAATGTTGACTCACAGGGACCCTAGGTACAGTTGCACAAACGTGCAACTGGAGGCCACATTCCAACCCCTAAGAGCGGTAGTATTATCGCTGGATTTCATATTAGGCTGATGGCAAGCACTTCTTTGCCTTCTCCCAGGTTCTGATGGGCAGCAAAAGCTTAACCAAAACATTGACAAGCCAAGAGCTTGCAGGAAGTTGGGGACGATGTCACTGGGTTGGAAGTGGAGCAAGGCGCAGAAGCCAGGGACCTTAGACCAACATCTCTCAGTTCAACATTTTGACTAAGGCTAGTCTCAACTAGAGCCAAGAAGCTCATCTTTTCTGGGGTAAATATAGCTATTTCAATTTAAAAGGTTAGTTGAAAAGAAAGACAACCCATGGATTCAAAGCACACTGTTAAACAAGAGATGAATTCATTCTTACTTTGCCTGTTGGCTTCTCAACCAGAGGGCTGGTCAAGCAGGCTGGGGTGACGCTACTGTTCGCTGAAGGTTTCCACTGCGGTTCCGGCTAGAAAGAAAACACACAGAGATTTTAGAGACTCGGCTGGCTTCCTGCCACCCGCGTGCCAGTTCCCTGCTTCTCATCACAGTGCCTCAAGCACTTAAACGTACCTGCTGTCACTTCAATACCTGAGTCAGCTTTTTACCAGGCTCTTCCGTCTGCAGCCTGTGCAAACCCATTTAACCTTGTGCAGGGACATATTATAAAGCCATTGGTGACATTGTGAAGGAATTCATATACACATGTTGATGTAAGTGAAGAAGACTTTGAGCTTTATCTGTTCAGGCACTTTCCTGGAACCCTGAACAAATGATGTGAATCCTTTTTTAAAAGGCGAACTTTAATACTATCTCATAAAACAATGAAATCATGTCAATATTGGATTTTCAAATATTTTTCTTTTCCCAGACGGAATAATGTGGACGATTCTCTACCTGACTCATTGCTTCAGCTTCAGCTCCAACTCTGTCCCACCATTAACCCTAAACCTAGAACCATGCTGATCAATTGCTTTTCTTGAACTAGATCTTGAACATAGATCTTCATTCCGACCTGCACTTTTACTTATGCTGTTTCTGCTTCCTACAGGTCACCTCAGTACTTGCCACGGCAGACTCTCTAAACTCACTCGCATTAATGCTGAGTCATAGCAACCCTATAGGGCAGAGCAAAACTGCTCCTGTGGGTGTCCGAGACCATAAATCTTTATGGGCATAGAAAACCAGGAGCTGCTGGTGGTTTTGAACTGCTGATCTTTCATAGCCGTAACCCGATGCATAACCACTATGCCACCTATCTGCTGAGCTCCTATCTGCTCCTATCTGCTCCTATCTGCTGAGCATGGTGAACTACGGAGGGCAGGACTCCTGTCTTAGGTTCTGTCTGGGTCTTTCATAGTCTCAAAAAATAAAACAAAACAAAAACAATTCTTGCCATTGGATTGATTCTCACTCAGTGACTCTGTAGGATAGAGAAGTACTTGTGGGTTTCCCACACTGTAAATCTTGATGGGAGTAGAAACCCAATCTTTCTCCCTTGGACCGGCTGGTGGTTTCAAACTGCTAGCCTTGCAGTTAGCAGCCCAACGCCTAGCCTACTGTTCCAGCAGGGCTCCTTCAGCGTCTACTGCAGGCCATGTACACTGTAGCTTCTTTCTCTGTCATTTGAGTTGTCTTTCCTTTTGTCAGCTGGGTCCATCCCTTTACTAATCGCTACACTCCAAAATATCCTACCAGATCCAGCACTCTCTAGTCCCCAGCCTCAACTCCCACCACAGACACATTTTTTTATCATCTCCTTGGTTAATGATAGAATTCTCACCTGCATGAGAAAGACCTGGGTTCAAATCCCTGCCAATGTACCTCCTGCACGGCCACCCCTGATCTGTCATTGTTAGGCTGCATGCTGCCATAATGCTGAAGGAGTCTAAGCAGCACTTCCAGACAAAGCTGGACTGGATAGAAAGGCCTGCAGATCTACTTCTTTAAAAAATCACCCCACGAAAACCCTACGGATCACCATCTTCCAATTCCCTGCCAACCATGGGGATGGGCAGGACGGAGCAGTGGTTTGCTTGTTCCCTTGTGAATGGAGGCAGCATGAATCAGGGATTGACTAAAGGGCATCAAACAAATTCTCAAGCTTATTAGAAGAGATAGCAAGACGGTGGTTATTGGAAACACCCTTAACTATTTTTACGACTAACACCAGAAAACACAAACGACTCTTTAAAATGCATCCACAAGTACAGATGTGTGCCGTTTAACATCCTGGAGAACCAGGTCCTTACGTCCCACCTCCTCCACCAACCCCCCCCTCCCGCCGCCATCCCCACCCCGATTCAACAAAAAGGATTGATTAAGGACATGGAACATACAGAGCTGGGTGGCCCTGCAGTGGGGCGGGAGGGTGGGTGTGGGTGGGGGGGCAGCAGGAGCCTGTCCTTCCGGAGTGTTAATATAGACAGGTTTCCCTTGTTGGCTCTACTCAGCTGCCCTCCTATTAGCCCTTCCCCCACACCTAATCCTAGTGGTAGATCTTCTGGTGCTAAATGGGAGGTGTTGCAAGAGAAGGGCGTCTCTCCCTCCCAGCTGGGCGCCAGAAGTGGGAGTGACCCTGAAAGGTCTTGCTGCATTCCTGGCACCTGTAGGGCTTCTCGCCTAGGTGGATGTGCTCAGTGAGCTGGCCATCCTGGCACCAGATGCAGTGTCTGGGTTGGAGCTCTGGCCCAAGGCTTGGTGCTGTGAGGCCTGGGACCTGCGGCTGGCGGCCTTGTCACCCAGGCCACGCCCTTCCAGCTTCTCACCACGTGGATGCAAGGATGCTGGATGAAGCTGGAGCCGTCCCAGATGCAGATGCCACCCTTCTGGCGGGTGCAGGGCTTGCCGCCCGTGGAGGTGCTAGTTCTTCAGCAGCAGCAGCAGCACAGGGGGCTTGATGCTCTTGTCACAGTACCCAAAATGGTGGGGCTTCCTGCCCAGCACATCACTTGCAAATCCTGAAGTCCACACCCAGCCCAAAACGATGGCCCAATTCAGCCCACTAGAGGCTGCCACCAGTTCCCTCGGCTCCCTGCCGCACCCCTCTTGTGTGGCCTCAGTCTGACCCAAAGCTGACTCTGACTCAGCAGGGTCCTCAGTGCCCCTCTGTCCTGGCCCCCCCACCCCTCTCAGAAACACATGACTAGGGAGATGGTGGCATCGATTTAGAATCAGGCCAGAGGTGTTTCCCCCAATCTTATTTGGATTTCTCGGGCATCTTAGGGGTCCGGGTTGCACAGCTCCGCCTTCTGCTGTGTGGGGGAGAGCTCCGTGGGGCTGCAGGGGGTAGTGTCCTGTAGATGGTCATGGAGGTAGAGCAGAGCCTTTGGTGGTGGTGGGGGGCGGGGTGAGGGTAGCCTCCAGGAGGTGTCCCTGTGATAAGAGCCCAACAGGGGTATGGGGAGGAGGGAACTGTGATCATTCCCTGGGCTGCCATCTTCCCAATTTCCTGATGGTGTAGGTACCTGGAATCCCTAGTTTCACTCTCTCAGGGTGGAAGATGGCACCCAGGTGCAGATGCTGGATCTGAGCTCAGGTTCCAAGCCCTCCCCTCTCTCTGCAACAGCCCAGTGGGGAGGGGCACCATCACCACAGGGGCAGGAACAAACTCCTCCACACCCCCTCCCACGCTGGGAACCCTGGGACCATGGAGAACAACAGGATCGCAGACGACACAGAGCAGGGAGCAGCAGCCACCTGGACTCAGGCTCACAGCTCCACACAAGCTACCGGCCTCGGATGGGCTATGATTTGGACATGTGGGCATGCCCTATGGAATCGGACGAGGCCCCATTCCACTGAACTTACGGGACGTGAGGGACGCATACCTGCCCTGGCAGCGCTAACTCCCACTGTCCATTCACTGTGCCTGTCTCTTCAGTGAAAGGACGATTCTTCAGTGGTTTTAGCGGAGGAATGGAGTATGCCCTTCAGGAATGTAAGAGCCCCTGCTGTTACTAATTATCGCTCCCTAGGCAAATGACTTGTACTGCCCCTGGGCTGGCCCAGCCTGGATTTGTGGCATGCCTATGTACACACAGGGCATTGTAACACGCACTGTGGCGACATCCATGGCCTAGCAAGCAAAGAATAATGCCTCCCGAAGATGCCCCGCAGGGACCCGCAGGGTATCCACACGAACCTCGGACTTCTCCCTGGAGTCGGAACCAAGGGTTAGAGTCCAAAGGCGGTAGCTTTCTGCCCATTGCGGGCTAAACTGGGACCAACAACTCATTTCACAGGTCACGTCACAGCCTTCAAAGTTTAATTACCACCAAACCCTGCTGGCTCAGCTCCCAAGCCACATGAAGTGAATACATGGACGCAAGTCCCCAAGGATCTGGTTACAAACTCCCACCTTCTAGAAAGAAAAGACATTGGATGGCATCAGGGAAAGAGCCCAAGATGTCAACTGGACTGCTGCACCGTTTTCTCTCTGTCTTTTCGGATGCAAAGGTGGGCTCAGTGTGGCTATGCAGGAAACATGGTGCTTTTGCAGGGAGTCCATCCGCAGAAGCAGCAGAGGGATCTGAAGGACTCTGCCCTTCACGCCAAGGCTGGTCTAGTTGCCATGGCAACCTGCAACTCATTTTCTTAGCGTGTCCTGCAGCCTGATTTTCTTCAGACCAGAGATTCCCTTGATGTATTTGCATCAGTTATATTGAAGACTGAAAATCCAGCAATTTGTAAAGTATAGCTTTCTTACCGATAAACCATTTCTTTGGCAGAAACAGGATGTTCTGATTGTAGGTCATACATAAAAGGAAATTTCTGAAATAATTGATTCTCGGGTAAAACAGATGGGCAGATACTATTGTTGTTAGGGACTGTCAAGGCGGCGCCAACTCATAGTGACCCTGTGCATAAGAAAAGCGAACACAGTCCGGTCCAGCACCACTCTCAGTCGTTGTTATGTTGGAGATCATTGTGGCAGCCACTGTGCCCGTCCACTTCACTAAGGGTCTCCCTCGAAGACCTTTTCCAGGGACTGAGCCCGCCTAGGGGAGAAAGATGGGCCTTTCTACCCCGAGACAGAGTTCCAGTCGTGGACACCCACAGGGGCAGTTCTCCCTGTCCCATAGAGTCACTGTGAGTTGGATTGGCTTGATGTCAGTGAGTGAGATCCCTCCTGTTATCATGTCTCTGTTTACAGTATGTGGAACAACTCTTGCTATCCTAGCGTCTAAAGAGCAGGTGGTCTTACTTCTTCCAGAACCGGTTTATTCGTTCTGGTGGTCTATGGTCCTGGCACTATGCTGCACGCATGCTGTATTCCAAAGGCATCCATTACTCTGTGGTCTTCCTGATTCATCTTCTGGTTTTCATGTGTATATGGGGCAATTGAAAATACAAAGGCTTGGGTCAGGTGCACCTTAGCCCTCAATGTGACGGCTTGGCTCCTACAGACAACTTGGCTGAACAGATTTGCCTAATGTAATAACTCATTTGATTTTTCTGGCTACTGTG